GAAAACAATGGAAAAGTCTACAGACTTCATGAGAAGAAAAGGAGATTTCGTGTAAAGGACAAAGATACAGAATAGCATCAAACTTTTCAGTAGCAACCCTTGGAAGGTGTAATATGATTGTGCATTGCCTGGAATAGTCAAAGGAGAAAATGGAATTGTGTTCTTGGGCTATATCAATGTGTTGTGATTGTAGAATTAAGACATCTTCAGCCATGCAAAATCTTAAGAATTTACTTTCTATACCTTTTACTAAGGTAGCCACTGAGAGGAGTACTCATCAAAAATAAGAGAATAAACCAAGGGGGGAAAAAAGGAGGGAAGGAAAATAAGCACAGGAGAATGGAGGAAGGAATCCCCTGGATGATAGTGGAGATCCTAGAGTGATAATGAAATATCTTTTATGAAAATAACCAGACAAGTAGAGAAAAACTGGTCCAGATTATAGAGTTTGGGAAGGCTGTAGTGAAATTGATTGAGTCTATAATGTGCTCCATTAGCAGTGTAGAATAATGGGTTTGAAGTAGTATCTATCTATAGAGCCATGGTCCATAACATCCAAAATGACCAAAAGAATGACCAAACACGGGAGTCAGTTCTGCAGTCAGTGCTGCGGGCTCCATGGCAGCCCTACACTGACTGCTGAGGGGGCTGTGGATCAGGCCCAGAAAAAGAAGCAGGGTCTGATCCAAAGCCTCCATGGCAGCTGATCAGCCCTTGCCTTTCTTTCTCTCCAGGCCTTGCCAGCAGCCACAGGGTCTGTTGTTCAGCCCCACCATTCTGATCAAGCCCAGAGATAGGCCCGGAGACGCTGACTGGCATAGAAACTGACCAATCATAATCAAATATGGGTGACCTAAGAGGAGCCAATGGCTGCCTAGGTGGCAGAGCTTTTAACGCTGACTGGCATAGACACAGACCAATCAGAACCTAATCTGGGTGAACTGCGAAAGGCAGAACCTAAGTTGAGGGCTGAGAAGGGGTTTTAAGGGCAACAGCTGTTTGGTGTATGAGGTAAGAAAGGGGTTCAATTTTTTAATGACCAGTTGACAGTATAGTGCATATGGCTGGCTATCAGTCTAGATACAGGGATTATGTATTTTTGTCTGCCAAGAGCATCTCCTCCTGCTGAAAAAGACTCCACCCCCACTTCCCACCCCAATTAAGCAATCCTATACAATCTATACTACTAAAAGGGTAATATGCTAATTAGACTGGGTCAACCAGCCATCTTCCAGATGTCCGACTTCTTTCTGGACAAAGCCATGGTAGTGGGGGCTGATGCAGAGGCAGTCAGGGGCAATTAGGTTGGCAGGAGAAGGCAGTTGGGGGCGAGATCAGGCCAGCAGGGGAGGGCAGTTAGGGGCAATCAGGCTGGCCAGGGAGAGCAGTCAGGGTCAAGATCAGGCCAGCAGGGGGGGCGGGCAGTTGGGGGCAAGATCAGGCTGGCAGGGGAGGGTAGTTAGGGGCGATCAGGCAGGTAAGCAGGTGAGCAGTTAGGAGCCAGCAGTCCCAGATTGTGAAAGGGATGTCCAACTGTCAGGTGGATCAGGTCTAAACCAGCCGTCAGACATCCCCCAAGGGGACCCTCATTGGAGAGGGTGCAGGGCTGAGGGACCCCCACCCCCAATCACGAATTTTGTGCACTGGGCTACTAGTTAGATACATAAAAAAGCAGAGAGGCAGGATTGGAGATAAGGAACAATTATTAACTCCGGGGAAAACAGAATGTAATTGAAGACAGGAAAAGTAACAGAGGTGTGCTACCTTTCTCAGTTGTGACCAGCATTTACAGACTATGCAAATTAACCGGGATGCCATAACATCATGATGCTCAGCAGAAGGCATGCACAGCAGGAGTGGGTGGGCAGGGACTGCCATCACCAGGAGGACCTCCACGCTGAGCGGTCCCCAGTGGAGGCGGTCCCTGTGCCACCTAACCCAGAGACCACCCAGCCAGGGGGCAACCCCTGGCTCTGCTATATTGAGTTTGTGATTTCAAAGGAAACAGTCAGAAAGGATGATAAATTCTACACAAATGCCTTAGCTGGTGCCTATCTAAGCCGCGGCTTTGTTTAAATCGAGCCTTTTCCGCAGTGAATGACCCCAACCCTCCTTGGACCAGGCAGGTTCCTGTGGAGTGCAATCTCCATGCAATACACCGAGGGCCCCAGTCTCATCCCTGGTGATCTCATGCACGTTATCTCAGGGCAGCGGTGAAGGAAGGTAAAAACATCACACAGGGCAGCTCTGACGAGCAGGCAGATGGAAACCATGTCTGGCAGACACTCCCCTGTCACCCTCTTCAACATGTACAAAGAATCAAATAAACCAATACAAATACCCCGCCCCAGCCCCAGAGAGATCCCAGACTGAGGGGTATCCCACCCAGGCATTGCATACCTGCTTCCCACCCCCTTGATCCAAATGGGCAGGTTAGGGGGTATAGAGGAGGAGGAGGAGCCTCACAGGAAAGGGATCCCCAGAAATGCACCCCTGTCTTCCCTCCAGACCTGACCTCTTGGAGTGCAGGGCCTGACCCCACCCCCAGAAGATTTGAATATCCCAGAACCTCCAGTGCTTCCATGCACTGGGCATTCCCATGTCTTCCCTGACTCCCAGCCACTGATCCTCACTGTCTCCTACCCAGAAATACTCTGTCCTCCTCAACTTTTGGTCTTTCTAGCCTAAATGTATGGTGGGCATTGTTCTTCTCCATGGATTTTATTTGTTAAAAACCCAGTGAAGTTATTTAGCAACTGAGCCGCTCAGACTTCATCAGGGACAACAAATGATAGACCTTATTTGGCTTTGATAGCAAAGCAATCTTATTCTTTTACTAGAGGCCCGGTGCATGAAATTCGTGCATGGAGGGGGGCGGGGGGTGTCCCTTAGCCCAGCCTGCACCCTCTCCAATCTGGACCCCTCAAGGGATGTCCGACTGCCCATTTGGGCCCAATCCCAGTAGGACATCCCTCTCACAATCCAGGACTGCTGGCATCCAACTGCTCACCTGTCTGTCTTCCTGATTGCCCCTAACCACTTCTTCTTCCAGCCTAATCACCCCCTAACCACTCCCCTGCCAGCCTAATTGGTAGCCTAACTGCCCTCCCCTGCAGGCCTGCCCCCCCCCCCCCAACTACCTTCCCTTGCAGGCCTGGTCCCTCCCAACTGCCCTCCCCTGTTTGTTTGATCATCCCCAACTGCCTTCCCTTGCAGGCCTGGTCCCTCCCATCTACCCTCCCCTGCTGGTCATCTTGTGTTGGCCATGTTGTGTCTACATAGGGGCAGGATCTTAACCACATGGGGGTAGCCATCTTGTGTGTTGGAGTGATGGTCAATTTGCATATTACTCTTTTATTAGATAATATAGAGGCCTGGTGCACGGATGGGGGCCAGGTGGTTTGCCCTGAAGGGTGTCCTGGATTAGGATTGGGGTTCCCTTGGGTCGTGAGTCAGCCTGGGTGAGGGGCCTGTGGTGGTTTGCAAGCCAGCCAATCCCCCCCTTTCCCTCCCTCCCTGGTGACCCAAGCAGAGGTCCTGGAATCTGGGATTTATTTATCTTCTATACTTGAAACTTTGTAGCATTGAGCAGAGCCAAATCTCCTGTTCCCTCCATGGCAACAGCCATTTTTGTTGGGATTTATTTATCTTCTGTCATCGAAACTTTGTAGCCTTGAGTGGAGGCCTGGGTCCACCAAGGTGTGTGGAAAGCTTGGCTTTGCCAGGGAAACCCAAGCCTCCTGCTTGCTCCATGGCCACAGCCATTTTGGTTGGGTTAATTTGCATACTCGCTCCTGATTGGCTGGTGGGCATGACTTGTGGGTGTATTGGAGTAATTGTTAATTTGCATATTATTCTTTTATTAGATAGGATTTTTTAAAATAGATTTTTATTGATTTCAGAAAGGAAGGAGAGGGAGATAGAAACATCAATGATGAGAAAGATTCATTGATTAGTTGCCTCCTGCATGTGCCCTACTGAGGATCAAGCCTGCAACTCAGGTGTGTGCCCTTGACCAGAATCAAACCCGGGACCCTTCAGTCCTCAGGCTGAAGCTCTAGCCACTGAGCAAAACCAGCTAGGACAAGCAATCCTATTCTTAAAGACTTGATTTTTGTCATAAACAAGTGAATTTGAATCATATCAAACCAATAAACATTTTTAAATGAGATGTCTGTTCAGTTCTACTAATGCAATTCTACCTTAAAGCTCATGTTGTATAATCTATACTAATAAAAGGGTAATATGCTAATTAGACTAGAAGTCTTCTGGGCATCCACACAAAGCCACGGTGGCGGGGCTGAGGCAGAGGCTGTTAGGGACGGCCAGGCTGGCAGCGGAGGGCAGTTAGGGGCGATCAGGCCAGCAGGCAGAGGTGGTTAGGACTATCAGGCAGGGAGGCAGGTGAGCAGTTAGGAGCCAGCGGTCCCAGATTGCGAGAGGGATGTCTGACTGCCGGTTTAGACCCATTTCCACAGGCATTGGGCCTAAACCATCAGTCAAACATCCCCCAAGGGGTCCCAGGCTGAGGAACACACACACACAAACACACACACACACACACACACACACACACACTCTTCATGCACCAGGCCTCTAGTTACATTGATAATGACTACATTCCTTTGTTAGGAGGATGGGAGTATTGAAGGCATTATGAGGGTTGTAGAGAGCAGCATAGAGATACATAAAACTGAGGCTCATATTAAATGGAAGAAACTGGTTTTTCAACAAATAATAAAATACATATATTATTTAGAGATAAAGAAATAATCACCTAAAAGGGAGTTGAGAGATGAGGCAAGGGACTGCTAATTTTCATGCAGTCATATAGAACTAGTACAACTGTGATGAAAATAAAAATTATAGTATGATTTGTGCTTTTTCAAAAAACTGCATAGATTTCTACTGTGTTGTTATAGATTTGTCACAGGTTATGTTAAACAAAAATGGATTTTGTCCTGTAGAGACCAATAATGTCTTGTCTGTTTTGTTATCAGATCAGATCCAAGCTGTGAAGACATGAAAAGATAGTATTTGGAAACCTCAACAATTGTCAATTCAAGGAATATATCTTAAAGCAAACTGAATACATTAAACTTTTTAGAGATATTGGTACATCTAAGAATACTTTATAATCTGCTTGCATTTATGGACTCTGAATAAAATTTATAAGAATATAAGATTTCACATATGCTAATCTGGCCATTAATTATATGAAAATAAATCCTCAGAAAGGATCCCCAGAATATCAACCTCTTGGTAAAAATCTATACTTGTCCGTAATGAGAATGTTAAAGTCCATCTCAATATCTCATCGTGAATTATGATATCTTCAGTGTATTTTTTAATTGTCTTTAAAAAAGATTATAGTATGACTGCAATGGGATTGTGCTTGTGAAAAAGAACTTTAAATATTTATAAGGGACCATGGGTGATTAATGTATATTTTTACTATATGTCACCATCAATAAAACATAAAATATATCAACTAGTGTGCTTTGTTTATGCTGAAGTAATAATGCTGTGTTAATATGATACTTGGTATTTTACTGTCAAATATTTGTCAACCTGAGACCAAGTTATGCTGAAGTTATTTATCCAGTGAATATGTATTGGGTAACTCTATACCTGTACTAGTTTGACACTATACTATGCAATGATGATAGAAGGTAAATTAAACATACTCCTTCTCCTCAGAGAACTTAAAATTTAATGAGGCAGAATTTGAGAATTTTTTAATATATCATTTAATTTTTTATTTCATTGGCTGAATGAAAATATTTTATCCTAAGACTGAGTTATTAAAATGAGTTAATGTGTGATTCTTCAATAATTATAACTGACTTTCTTTAAAATTCCTCCAGTTTACTATAGCACTTTGTTGAAATAGATTGTGACCAAACTGTTTTTGTTTTTTTTCCTAAACAAAAACTGCTACATAAATGTTTTTTAGAATTTTAGACATATCTCAGTTATCCACAGTATATAAATTGTGTTATTCTCAAAACTTAGAGACCACTTAGAATTATGAACTCTAAATAGAAGCTTTGGTTTTAAATTAATCACTGGGAAACAGTATAAAAAGCAGTGGTATAAATTCTGGAAAATATTGCATATAAAGAAAAACTGGAATATTTGTTGTGTAACATCTTAAACATACTTAGCTGTGGAAATGATAAAAAGCAGGCAAAAGGTGAGCATTAAAGATGTGATATAATAACTGTGGGAGTGATATGTTTCAGAGATTTGAATAAAATAATTTTAAAACTACAGTAAAAGTTCTGTAATACACTTTCTCACAGTCCTGAAATCCCAGTGACTTGGAATTTGTCAAGATCAAAGTTATCCAGGATAGTCTACTGGTTTTACATTTTCAGCTAGCTTGCCAGCCTTCCATTAATTGTGGTTTTTTAAAAATAAATAAATAGCCGAAGCCGGTTTGGCTCAGTGGTAGAGCGTCGGTCTGCGGACTGAAAGGTCCCGGGTTCAATTCCGGTCAGGGGCATGTATGATGGCTGCGGGCACATCCCCAGTAGGGGGTGTGCAAGAGGCAGCTGGTCGATGTTTCTCTCTCATCGACGTTTCTAGCTCGCTCTCTCTCCCTTACTCTCTGTAAAATATCAATAAAATATATTTTAAAAAATAAATAAATAAAAATAAATAAATAAATAAATCTTTGTTTAGATTATTACAAATGTTCCTCTTTTTCCCCTCCATTGCTCCCCTCCACCAGGTTCCCACCCCACTCTCTGCCCTTTCCCCACCCTCCATTGTCCTCATCCATAGTTTTGGGTTTTTTTAAATATATTTTGTTGATTTTTTTACAGAGAGGGAGACAGAGGGATAGAGAGTTAGAAACATCGATAAGAGAGAATCATCCATCAGCTGGGATGTGCCCGCAACCAAGGTAAATGCCCTTGACCAAAATTGAACCTGGGACCTTTCAGTCCGCAGGCCAATGCTCTATTCATTGAGCCAAACCGGTTTCGGCGAGGTGCACAGTTTTTGTTCAGTCTCTTCTCACACCCCCAGTCCCCTTTTCCCCCAGAATCATCAGTCCACTCCCCTTCCATATTTCTGATTCTATTATGTTCACCAGTTAATATTGTTCATCAGATTTTTTAATTCCCTTGGTTTTTAGGTTCACTTGTTGATAGTTACATATTTGTTGTTCATAATTTTTATCTTTATCGTCTTCCTCTTCCTAAAGAACCCCTTTAAGCAATTCATATTATATAATTCTGGTTTGGCAGTGATAAACTCCTTTAGTTTTTTTTAATTTGTGAAGCTTTTTATCTGGCCTTCAATTCTGAGTGATAGCTTTGCTGGGTAGATTATCTTTGGCTATAGGTTCTTGCTATTCATCACCTTGAATATTTCTTGCCATTCCCGTCTGGCCTGCATGTTTTCTGTTGAGAAATCAGCTAACAATCGTATAGGTGCTTTTCTCTTGCTGCTTTTAATATTCTCTCTTTGTCTTTTGCTCTTAGAATTTTAATTATGATTTGTCTTGATGTGGTCCTCTTTGGATTCCTTTTGTTTGGGGTTCTGTGTGCTTACTGGACTTTTAAGTCTATTTCTTTCACCAGGTGGGGGAAGTTTTCTGTCATTATTCCTTCTAGTATTCTTTTGGTATCTTGCTCTCTCTCTTCTTCTGGGACCCCCATAATTCTGATGTTGGTTCGTTTGAAGTTGTCCCAGAGGTTTCTTACATTATCTTCTACTTTCTGGATTCTCTTGCCTTCTAGCTTCTGTGGAGGAGTGTCCTCTGGATCTTTGTGTTCCAAATCTTTGACTTGATTCTTGCGATCTTCCTTTCTGTTTTTAGGACTCTGTATAATATTTTTTATTTCAGACAATGTATTCTTTATTTCTAGTTGATCCCTTTTCATATCCTCATAGGTCTCGTTTATTTTATTGGCCTTTTCTAAGAAATTCTTGAAAAACCTTATAAGCGTGGTTTTGAACTCTATATCCAGTCGCTTCTTTTCCTCCATTTCTTTTGTTTGTGATCTGTTTCCTTGTCTCAGCATTTTCACAGCTTCCCTGAATTGGTAGGGTGGCTTTGTATGCTAAGGTGCCCTATATGGTTCAGTGAGTCAGCTTCCCAGTTACCTGAGGTGGACAGTCTTGGGGTAGCCCTTTGTGGGCTGTGTGTGCAGTTTTGTTGTTAAGCCTTGTTTGTTGTTGGTATCACTGGGAAGTGTTGATCTCCAAGCCAATTGGCTATGAGGATCTGAAGTGTCTCAGATAGGAGGGTTTCTGTATTCTGCTTGAATGGGATGGAGTCTCGGGGTGGCACAGACAAGCTTTGCTTGCAACAATTGGTTGCAGGCGCGCGCACCTTTTTGGTATAGGCACAGACAAGCTTTAGATTCCTGTCTGTCACTCCCTAGGAGAGTCCCATTCACTGCGAATGAGAAAGGTAGCCACTGGAAGGGTTTCTGTGCTCCGCTTGGATGGGGCGGAGTCTTGAGTGGTGCAGTCAAGCTTTATTCAGCCCCTCCCTACGAGGGTCTGGTTTCTGAGTCCCGCAGTAATGGCCGCTGGCTTCACACACCTCCGAGAGATCCCTGCCCACTGCCTGACAGTCTGGCCTTTCCCTGTCTGGGGCCATCTATCAGCACAATAGGGTGGTTCTGTTTTCCTCCCGAACAAGAAAGCCAGCCGCGCTTTAGCTATCTGCCCTCTCTGCACGCAGGTATTAAGCCAGTAGCGAACTCTGCCCACCCTCCGCGCTCAGCAAGCAAGCCGGCAGCAAAGTCGGGCAGCAGCCTTTTCGTGCACGCAGTTCTCCGCACCTTCACAGATCCTGAGGCTCAGCGTGCCTTCTCTCTCATTCCCAGGTGGTAGAGCCTCCTCTCAGCCAGCCATCCGTCCGGCGCTTCAGGGTGATGTTTCCCCTGTTTTCCAGTTCTAAATTAAATCATTTTTTATTGTTCAATTACAATTAACATACTGTTGTATCACTTTCAGGAGTATACCCCAGTGATTAGACTTTACATGAAGTTCTTACATGACTTTCTAAGTGATCATCCCAATAAATCTTATACCCATCTGACACCATACATAGTTATTAAAATAGTATTGACTATACTTATTATGCTATGCTTTATATCAACATGACTATTCTGTAACCACGAATTTGTACTTCTTAATCCCTCACCTTTTTTATCCAACCTCCCTTCCATCTGGCAGCCATCAAAATATTATCTGTATTTATAAGTTTGTTTCTGTTCAGATTGTTTATTTTGTTTTTCAGGTCTGTGTTTATTGTCATAGTATTGCTCATATTTTTATCTTTTTTTCTTAACAACCTTTGATAATTTATATAATACTGGTTTGATGGTGATTAATTCTTTTAGCTTTTTCTTGTCTGGGAGGCTCTTTATCTCTTCCTTGCTTCTAAATGATAGCTTGGAAGTAATAGAGTAATCTTGATTGTAGGTCCTTGCTGTTTTTCATTTTGAATGTTTCATGTCAATCTCTTCTGGCCTGCAAAGTTTCTGTTGATAAATCAGATAATAGTCTTTTTGGAGTTTTCTTGTAGGTGACTAACTGCTTTCTCTTGCTGCTTTAAAATTCTCTTTAAACTTTTGCATTTTAATTATGATATGTCTTGTTGTGGGCTTCTTTGGGTTCATCTTATTTAGGACTCTCTGCACTTCCTTGACTTGTATGTCTATTTCCTTCACCAAGTCAGAGAAGTTTTATGTCATTTTTTCAAATTTTTAATTACTTGCTCTCTCTCTTCTCCTCTTGGCATTCCCATGAAATAAATGGTATGCTTAAAGTTGTCCCAGAATCTCCTTATACTATCGTTATTTTTTTAAATTCTTTTTTCCTTTTGCTTTTCTGATTGTTTTCTGCTTCCTCATATTCCAAATCACTGATTTGATTATCAGTTTCATCTACTCTGCTGTTCATTTGTTGTAAATTATTCTTCATTTCAGTTAGTGTATCCTTCATTTCTGACTTTTTTGTTTTAATGGCTTCCATGTCCTTTTTTATGCTGCTAAGTCC